AACAAGAGGGAATCCTCAATAGCCGCGGCACTTGAAATTCTTTTAGACAGATTTAGAGTAAATTAATCTATGAGACGTTGTTTTTTTCTTTTTATTACCAATATTTTCGTGTACCATCAATATCAAGTATGGGGCTCGCGCATACCAGATTCGATTTTATTACTCATCAGGATCTTTACCAGCCTACCCTCAAATTGAAATTATTTTAGGTAGGATTATAGTAAATTAATCTACGAGACCATGGGCGTGGTCAAATACATCAATCAAAAGAATTTGAACTCCCGAATCCGAAGCTGTAATTATATCTCAATTCGGTCAAGAGATGAAGGAGCTATGAACTAAAAGTTTGTACTTGAAGAACTCCAGCTATTCTATGAGCCGCTTTGCCGCGGCTAAAATCTAAGTTTGTTTGTTAAGCATAAAGCTACTCAGAGGACTATTTGTATTGTACCCACCACGGGTATCGAAACCTAGTTTTTAGCATTTTAAGTCTTCAGACTTACCGCTGAGGGTAAAAGTTTGAGAATTCTGTTAATTAAAAACAATACTTAATCTTTATGAGCATTATATTTCCCTTCGTATAGTTATTTTAAAATTATACATTGTTAAGACACGTTATCTTAAAAGTGAATGCCATTCTTATTTAGACCGAGTGTAGCTCATTAAATAGCGTGCCAAACTTTTAAGGTCCAATGGTTCGCGATCATTTACCTCAAAATCGCGCTTCGCACTTTGTGGCCATGGGTGCTTTCTTTGAGTGCCGGTCAAATCTCACTATTCAATGAGAATAGCTCAAGAGTTGGTCGTGTGTGATACTGACTAACTGCCTCCCTCTAGTCTTATAGTTCAACATTATGGACGAATAGTGTCCTTACGTAGCTTTAAGCAAATATCCGAAACAAACGAACATACAAATCATTCTTGTTGTTAGAAAAGGTGGTTGTTTCATAATGTAGTTTTTATAAGGTGAAAAATTGTAAGCTATACTTCAAGCAACGCCAGGAAAAACAACAACAACAAAGAAACGAGGTAAGACTGACTTCTGGTGATTTAGAATTGATCTCAATTTGACAATTAAGAAAATCGCTTGTCCTGGCTATGCCTCAAAATACGTAAGATCTGCTTACTAGATGGCTCTGCATTCGCTTACAAAACAACAAAGACGAAGGAAACCTAAAACCTATGCTAGTGTTGCCCAATATACGCAGACAAATTGTGATCAACTTGTAATGCTAGACGCTACCATACTGAGCAGGGGCTATTAAAAGGTTCAAAAGATTTTAACTACCAAACTGAGACAACTCAATACAATGAGAAGTCAGCTTTACCTGTACACACCAAACTGTAAGCTCGCTCACTTTTCTTTTTTTGTTCTTGTGCAGCTCTTGTAAGGATTCAATTAGAAACCAAACTACACAGAAAATAAAACTAATTTATTTTACAAAACGAAGAAATAGTTGTAAAATGACATTTCTTGTGTTAAGGTTGATTTCACAACAATTTATTTGACATACGGCTATTCGATTGCCAAAGGTTTTTTTTTAACAATTATCGAGATAAAGAATAGCCTTAGCCGTACAATATATATGATCTTCTCTCCTTCTTATAGTTTAGGATATTCTCTACTTCTTCTTGTTTGGGATCTTCTCTCCTTCTTATAGTTTAGGATATTCTCTACTTCGTGTTGTTTGGGATCTTCTCTTCTTGTTGTTTAGGATATTCTCTACTTCTTGTTTGAGGTCTTCTCTTCTTGTTGTTGTTTAGAATATTCTCTACTTCTTCTTGTTTGGGATATTCTCTTCTTCTTGTAGTTTAGAATATTCTCTACTTCTTGTTGTTTGGGATCTTCTCTTCTTCTTGTAGTTTAGAATATTCTCTACTTCTTGCTGTTTGAGATCTTCTCTACTTCTTATAGTTTAGGATCTTCTCTACTTCTTATAGTTTAGGATCTTCTCTACTTCTTATAGTTTAGGATCTTCTCTACTTCTTATAGTTTAGGATCTTCTCTACTTCTTATAGTTTAGGATCTTCTCTACTTCTTATAGTTTAGGATCTTCTCTACTTCTTGTTCTTTGGGATCTTCCTTTATTGTAGTTTAAGATATTCTCTACTTCTTGATGTTTGGGATCTTCTTTCCTTCTTGTAGTTTAAGATATTCTCTACTCCTTGTTGTTTGTGATCTTCTCTCCTTGTAGTTTATTATATTCTCTACATCTTGTTGTTTGAGATCTTCTCTCCTTGTAGTGTATGATATTATCTAATTCTTATTGTATGGAATCTTCTCTCTTTCTGTAATTTGAAATCTTATTGATCACACTAAGTACAACGTTTTTACGTCGGTGTTGGAAAACTATTCTTTTTTCAGTATTTGTTTTTGATAACTATTTATGTAACTAAGTTTGGATATTTTATAACACTAAGTATCTCAAAAGGGAGAAAAAACGCTTAGGAATTTGAAATTCATTGGCGAGTAATTACCATGCCGAATTAGCGAATGTGGTAATTTAAAATGATTAAAATATACATCATACTGGATTTCCAAAACAACACAACTCTTTGGTGGCTGGATTTCAAATATGACTCAGTCCCCTTTTAGAGCTGCACCACATATTTTGGTTACTTTTATGGGGTTCGCGTTTACTAGAGTTTTTAGAAACGACATAGAAAACACAGTTCTCCAAATCTTCCGGGATTAAGATCCTCAATGTACATTTTGTACCTCAGACACAAGTACATTTAATGTATAATAAATATAAGTATGAGGCTTTCCTTATACTCACCCTATACTTGTTGGAAGTGGACTGGTAATTATTTGTATCTTTCTTATATGTTGGATAAAACAAACTATATAGTGTTTTACAGCCAGCATAACTTTTATCCTGGATTACGTTTTATCATTAACACCATGTTATTATTATTACTGTAATTATGAAGAATCTGGACCATTCTTGTTAACAGCTGGTAGAATTTCGTATTTATTTAGTGTTCTGTAAATGACCGATTAAACAAGAGACTACATACATATATACTTAGAAAATTAGTTCTATCGTGCTATACGTGTTCTTATTAACAGTTTCTTCATCTTCATTAATGTTAAAGTTCAGTAATAAAGAACCCAACCTTAAACACGAACAGTTCATAACAGCCCTAGGTGAAAATTAATCTAAGTTGCTTATTTACAACAAACAAATGTATGGATATATTGGGAAGAACGTTTTTTTTTTCTTTCCTTAACGGAGATCGTTTCAGCCTTTCACATTCTAGGATATAAAGTTTCATATCATCGTAACGATTCTGGTGCCCCCACAACCCCACAAGGGATTCCTCACACACCTACCATGTTTTGAACAGATGACTTGTGTCATTTTAAATATTTTCCGAAATGAAACTGTATTTTGTTTTAAATTTGTAATACAATATCTCATTTATACGTTATTTACTAACAGAACAATTATATTGTGCTTTTAATATTCATCTCATATTGTTCCATTAAAAGATTCCAGAAAGTAATAAAAATAAGCTGTCATTGTTTAATGGTTGGTTTTTTCCGTTACTTAAAATCCGTAGCGTTAACAATAAGCACTAATCCTTAAGAGATATTATTAAATAATTATTGATTTTTTTAATTGGTATTTACATCATTTTAATTGAATTATGACGTAGTTTACGTGATCCAAAACTTGTTTTCGTGACACAGCTCTAGCGAAGCTAGAATAAAATATTTTCTACTGCTGATCGATAGCTGCATGCTATATAAACACGCGCATGTTAGTGTTATGGTGGGCGCGTGTCTTCGTAATGTCAAGGTTTGTGAAGTGTTGTTATGTATGCCCAAAATATATCGAGTATGAGGTTGGGAAATTCATATTTCTTATATAATCATAATGACTATGGATGTTTCTCTCATTGCAAGTAGCGTGTGATTTATAATACTTTGTGTAAGATTGACAACACTTTTATTATATAGATTATATGACCGGTAATTGTTGGAATTATTAATTTATTAGCGTTTGTTGTTATATGCCGGTTGATTGTAAGTAGTGTGTGACTAACATTACTTTGTGTAAGATTGACAACACTTTTATTATATAGATTATATGACCGGTAATTGTTGGTATTATTAATTTATTAGCGTTTGTTGTTATATGCCGGTTGATTGTAAGTAGTGTGTGACTAGAATCTTACACAAAGTAGTAGACAACACTTTTATTATATGACCGGTAATTGTTGGAATTATTAATTTATTAGCGTTTATTGTTATATGCTTGTTGATTGTAAGTATTTTACAAAGAAATGTAGGAATATTTGTACTAGAAGAGTGATACGTTTGTGCTCTTCCAACATACATAGAATCTGATGCTAGGTTTTACGTCGTATCTTTTTTGGAGTGCAGCAGAACTTTGGAATATTTCAATATATATGCTAATTCTGCAAAATAAATAAAGATACAATGATAAATATTTCAATTTTTGGTGATAACATGTTTGTGCACTAGAAAAACCTATTCACTTCTGAAGAACATTACTTATGGACAAATGAAATAAATTATTAGATACTGAAACATGAAACGAAGGCAACTTATCAAACAGTAATAACAAACAAAAAATATTCTACGACAAAAATTTGAAAAAATGACGAGGTTGCTAATTCAAATTTCACTTTCTTCGGACATTAAATTGGTTAATAAAAAAACTGGTGTGTCAAGTGAGAAATATAGACTATGTTTACGAGTAGATATGTTCCTTTAAATTGGTTTAAGGTTACTTTTTGATATCCATTGTTTATTATGTGTGACACATAGTAATTGGTATTTTTAACCTGAACGGCACCTTTTGTGACACACAGGATAAACGACTATGCCAGGGACCCCAAGGTTTAGGCATAACCATACACTCCGACATTTAACCAACTTAAAAGAATCATCTTGGTTTGGAAAGAGCTTCATCTTGTGGTTTGGTTTGATGTGTTCAATTGGAGACAAAATAACTAAAAACAATAAATTTGCGCTAAATATTACGCTTTATTTGATGCTATCAAAGACGTACAAAACCCATAGTTTAACAGAACTGAACTAACACCAGTTGAGACAAACGAGAAGCTAGATGAAACAATTTAGCTATGTCAAAACATTATTTAATGGCCGAGGTTAATGAAAATACCACCTTCACATATCTCGTCCGAGGAGGAATTACCTGTCTTAACTGTCGTAGAAAACACCGTTACGTTTGGAAAACAAAGAGGATACTTGCCATGCGTTTTGTAGCACTTATTTCAATTTAGTGGAAGAAAATACGGAGTTATACTAATTAGTTACAAAAAAAATAAAAATTATGATAGAAAACTGTACAAACGTTATATCATAAGAATCACGCAACCTTTATAGAAAACAAAAAATAAACTGCTTTGTCTGGATTTTGAGAACAACTGAAAAAATAAACCACTGTGTTGGAAATATAAAAATAAAATGAAAAGTATTTCAGGAAACACTCCTATCTTTACTCTTAACTATACAGCTGTGCCACTTCTGTAGAACACAACTCCTATCTTTACTCTTAACTATACAGCTGTGCCACTTCTGTAGAACACAACTCCTATCTTTACTCTTAACTATACAGCTGTGCCACTTCTGTAGAACACAACTTCTATCTTTACTCTTAACTATACAGCTGTGCCACTTCTGTAGAACACATACATTTTCGGATTCAAGTAATAAATAGATTATTTCCACAAATGTATTACAACACAGCTTTTGAAATCCCTCCAAAATATCCATTAAATTTCTGGTTATATTTCCATAAACCATCGCGAAGTACGTGTATAATAGCAGCAGTGATCCTTATTTATCAACACCTAATAGCTTTACACACTTCAAAAGCTACAAAATAAACGTCTACAGTTAAATATACAAAACAACTATACACTTTCACATTTTTACAAACTACAAGCATATTTTAATTTTATTTTTCCAAGCTGACGTTGAAAATTAACAAACGTACTTTAACACATTTAATTAGGCTGAACTGAACATTCTTGGTAATGTTAGAACCTCTCCCACAACAATACGTAATACAGTGTTAAAAAAAAGTGATTTTATTTTGGTTTTTCCTACGTCAACATAGTTTTCGAATAAACGTATCTAACATTTTACAGAGAATAATATATTTGTAATTCTTTTTATTTATTTATTTTTGGGGCACGATCAATTCACCTACTCAACATGATGCTGATTAAAAAAAATGCTTCTGATAATTACGAAAAGCCGAAAATAATGTTTCCAAAATACTTGACCCATCATAAGAGTAAATAAAAAAAAATAGTTGAAATTTTTCTAATATGATCGACTTAATGGTAAGACGTAATATATTCTTTCAATTGAAAAGAAATGTAGCAGAAAGGAATTAAAGAAGAGAATAAACCGTTTTATTGTTATTTACCACGTTCTTTGTGTGAATGTAGGTGATGTCAATGGTCCCATGCACATCGAGAAGTAACTACATCAGGGTTGTTTTGATGTTATCAGTGACAAATAAAATACATCAAAGGTGTGCCAGACCATTATTCTTATTCTTTGCTTCCTTAATCGTGAATCACATCCACAGAAAGTAAACCTTTTCTATCAAAGATTAAAAAGTCAGAACAACGTTCGCACTACTTAACTGAGGCTTGAAGTAATAAATGATCCTGTAATTACATATTCGTCCAACTAAATACGAATAGGCTAAGTCGAATGTAACATATTACACTCAATCGCGAAGTTAATATATTACGCTCAACTGTTATGATTCCAGAATCGGAATGTTGACTTTATAATAACTTAAATATAAACAAGTAAAAAAAAAGTGTTAAAACATCAGTTTAAGCTTCGTGATATATTGAATAACTATAAATCATTACAGCACATTGTATTTATACTCCTTTACATGTTAGTTGTTAAATCTTGGTAGCGTATGTTCAAACTTCTGGCTATTACCTTATATCATAAATATCTCTACTACGTTATCACTTTAATTTCTATAGCAGTCTCTAACAAAAAGCTATATAGATCCATAATTATTTAATTTTATTTTCAATCAATCTAAATCACATGTGTATCAGTGATTAATTTCCAACACTCAAATAAAATTGCTTCAAGTTTTAGTATCATACAGTTAACCTACGTATTTACTCAATTATATTTTGCACATTTACTTTGTAAGAAAGTAAAAGATTTTATGTAAAAACAGTGTGGTTCGACAGGAATACTGTTACAACATACTTTCAACTAATTGGAACACATTTGGTAGTAATTATTCATAACTTGTAGCCATTAACCAACTACGCTTCCTATTTTATAAAATACTCTAATTATTTTCATTTAATAAAACTGATCTATCAATGAATGTGTATTTTCCGATACAGATGAAATCGCTGAAGACTTACACAATATTTCAAAGTTTTCATGTTTCAGTAGCGAAAAAGTCGGCAAAAACAAAGATCATTTTAACGAATTACTTGTAAGGAAACGAGCGCTTCGGCAAAAACAACTACATATGTAATGACCGAACTATAAACGTTTTGTGTAAATTATCCTTACTAACTGTTGTTGTTTTTAAAACATTTTAGAGAAGAAGAAACGAAGCTAATTGTTTATCAAAAACAGACTAAATATGCTGGCATTCCCGTTTGATAAAATTTCTTCAAGACCGTTTTTGTTTGCCAGAAAGTTTTATTCAAGAACATTGCGATGATCGATTACGCTAGAAATTGCCTGAAACAAGCTCGCTACACTTTTTAAGGCACTGTGCACTAGACAGTAATGACTCTATTTGGCACAATAAACCTTCATAACAATATCAGTTTTCTGCTTGACAGATCTTTTGTTCTTCAAATGTTAATTAACATAAACACGAGCTTTACTGTTTCATTTGATATAAAGTTAGGGACGACCGAAACGGCCAGAATGTACAAGAAAAAATAACATACCGGATTTTAACTTGTAATCCAGAAAGGTGAACATTGAATTTAACAGGCTTACTGTAAGTTGAAATTTGTTACATTTTATGATTTATTCTTATTACTAGCAGTTTGTAAAGATAAAATAAAAGTCAATCATTAACCAACAATAATTGAAACACCAGGGCCCAAAAATGTTTTTAGTCTACTGAATAAAATAATTTATCATTCTAGATAATTAAGCTGATCCTTTGTATTATTCTACTTTAATGAATTGTTTCGTGTTATGTTGTCGACTTCTCTGAAAAGATGTGTCTATCACATCTAACGAAAATTGTTTCTACATCATCGAAGGAGGCATTGAGCAAATTAAGGCTAACATGCAATGGATTACATTGTTTTGGTATTTACTCAGTAACGTACTGTAACCTGGATCGTTACCAACACTATACAGTGTTGGTGCCGATTCAAGTTACAGCTACTGAATTGAATGTATATATTCATTTATATAGAATCTGACACACAACAAACTTGCGCTCCTTGAGTCATGTAAGTTACTCTAGTGATACAGCATGGAAATATAACTACTTATTCACTCAAAGTGACTGTTCATGATCAATTGATCCCCTTTGAAGAACCGCGTTATAGATACTGAACAAGGCAACCAGTTTTTGTTCCTGAACAATGATTTGTGGGTGTGTTCTGCTTAGAAATATCAATGTGGTTTGAAACACAATGACTTTCTCCCTCCTCCTCCTACACCACTGTAGAGCCATTAAAAATGTGCTGATAACTCCTACGTTGTGAAAAACATAGATTTGATCGAAAACCTGTGGTTCCATTAATTAAGCTGTCAATGATATTAGATTCTGTTGTTTAAAGCTTGTTCGGTACTTCTGTATCACTGTAGGCCTAATAAGTTTTTCCGCTGACAGAATAGTACATCCAGCTAGTAAATTCATTGCTAACTCTAATATTTAGCATAATAGAAACAGTCTCCTTTCAAAGGACTTGACTTGTCCACTGACCAGATATCTACTGGCATCGCTTTCGAAGCCATATTTTTAAAATGTCTATGTTACAGGGCACTATGGTACAGCTGTACACAGCGAAGGACTGAAAAGTTTTAGAGTATGGTTGTCCTTAACCTGCTTAGTTCACCTTGTTTGAAGGGCTACTAAGAACAACGATACTAGCGATACCACAGTCGAAGTCACGTGGCCCATACGAAAGTAGGGCGCTCTGTTGTTGACCAGTTCTTGAATTTTGGTCCGTGTCTGATTAGGCAGCTTATCTTTGTCTTCTGAAATACAAATAAAAATAACTTCATGAATATTATTGCAACAATCACTTAATTTTAATGTTTCCTTACTAAAATATTTTTTGCTATTTTATTTACTATTATTTACTAGTTTACTGCAGTGAATACTTAACTCTGATATCGCAATTAGAACAAGAAAGGAAACTTTTATTAAACAGCATATTAGGTAGACTGAAAAATATGTATAATAATGCGTACATAAAGATATATACATATATATTACGTGTGGCTAATATATAAAAATAAAGGAAAAAACAGAGAAAACTCTTCTAATCAGATGTTTTGAATTTTATTTTTTTATTTAGCGCGGGTAAGTTCGTTCTTACCTTTTTTCTTGGGGATTGAATTGTTCTTGTCCCCTTTAGTTGGCACTTCAAACGTTTTGATGGTTGGTGGTTTTGAGGGGACATTTGGGCGGAACCACCGAAAGATGGCGTCTGAATCGATGGAAGTTGACGCTGTGGTGGAAGTGGTTGTAGAAGTGGTAGAGAAAGGAATCGCGGGCTTACCGATAGGCAAGGTCACACTAGACACTGTAGAACTGGTGGAGGTGGTGCTCGCTATGAGAGATATGAATTGTTTTTTTAATATGACAGTTAAAGTTTAATGTACTCCATACAAACAGAGTGGTGCAAAAGTCGCGCGCAAATTATGATATTTTGAAGGCCCGCCCTTTATAATTTTTTCTAGGTCATGTTTGTATTTCATTGGTTTCCCCTTTTTTGTTTTATTTTAGTAATCGGTTAGGATATGAATAACTGTCAAGGGACATGTAGAAGTGAATTTGTGAGGGATCTTGAACTGTCCCCTTTTTGTTTTATTGGATGGGATATGAATAACTGTCAAAGGACATGTAGAAGTGAATTTGTGAGGGATCTTGAACTGTCCCCTTTTTGTTTTATTGGATGGGATATGAATAACTTTGTAAGAACGTGTAGAAGTGAACTTGTGAGGAATCTTGAACTGTCCCCTTTTTTGTTTTATTGGTTGGAATATGAATAACTTTGTAAGAACGTGTAAAAGTGAACTTGTGAGGGATCTTAAACTGAGTTATTATTGGCGTAAAACTCCTTGGTCTGAATAAAGTGACCTTCGAACAGCTTTAAGGGCAAGATTTAAAAACAAACCTGGTGGTGCGCGACTTTTGCATTACTTTGTGTAAGTAAAAAGAAATAAAGAATGATCAGTAAATAAGATTTAGTATAAAAATACAGGTTCCCAACGTTATCTATTTTGATTCAAAGTAACCTTTACTGAACTACTTACGTTTAGAAGGATCGCAACAGACTTTGAAGATAATCTTCATGTTATGAGTGGCACAGCGTCCACCCATGCGCTGGTGAAGTCGATCAATTCCTCCACCGGATGTTGCTAAACGAAACATCAAGTCATGTTAAAATAATTCATTAAATGTCACGTATACAGATCAATATGATTTAAACGGAGAAAATCTTGAATGCGCATCAAAACATCAAAACTTAAGAAAATGAAGTGAAAAAACAAAAGAACAAGTTGGTGTTACTTAACATTTTCAAGTAGTTTCAATACTTCTAAAATCAAAGGTTAAAATAATTACAGATATAACAGTAATATCATTCGGGAATGTTTACCTTACAAATACAACACTAGTATAATTGAGAAATATTTAAATTCTGTGTATAATTCAGTATGTATAAATGACAATGTAACTCTAACATAACTGAAGAATGTTTAGATTACAAACGTGACATTAGTATAATTAAAAAATGTTTACATTTACAAATGTACCAATTGAGGAAAGTTTAAGTTACAAATGTAGCACTGGTATAATTCAGGAATGTCTAAATTACAAATGTGAAACTAACATAATTCAAGAATATTTACATTACAAATGTAAAACTAACATAATTCAAGAATGTCTAAACTACAAATGTAAAAGTAACATAATACAAGAATGTTTACATTACAAATGTATCAATTCAGGAATGTTTTTGAAAGTACATTTGACCTGTCATTTTTCTGTTGCTATAGTATTCATAAAACATGTTAGTAAACAGAACGAATTAAATGTTCATCTTAAATCGTGCTAGTGGAAGTGGATGAGTTGGGACACTAAGTGTCCTTTAAAAGAAAACCGTTTGCGCTAATGACACACTCTGACTTGCATGAAAGTTTTAACGATATTTTATTTTTATTGGTAATCATATCAGTAAGAGGAAAGACACGTGCTCATCCATTACTTAAGCACTAAGATTGTAATGCTGAATAATCTATCAATGTCAAAGATTTCTGTAAGGCAGAAATTTTAAAACCTTATTGTCTTTTGTTAGCATCCATCACGTGCTTTCTTTTATCACACCAATGTTCTTACAAACACAGATCAAATTGTTAGGTCTAGAACATATATTCGTTTCACTTTCGCATTCATAAACGAAGACGCCGTTTCTCAAGATTTTGATAATTTTACTCGGGTTCATTTATTTCACATCTCTTCATATACAAGCTCAGTTGACAATATTTTATGGAAATACGTTTTTCATGAGAGCTCTTTAGTCAAAGTGGTGGTTTTACTAAATGTATATTTTTTTGTTTGTAATTAAGCACAAAGCTACACAATGGGATATTTGTGTTCTGCCCACCACGGGTATCGAAACCCGGTTTCTAGCGGTGCAAGTCCGCAGACACACTAAAAGTAACAAAAATACCTGTGAATTTAATGTTTGTGATGATTATATGTTTGAAGGAACAAAAGCTCTCATTCGAGTTCCAATGTTCAATGATAAAACATTGTACGGTTTCACAAAAAATCCAGACGGAGAGAAATACATGTAATAATGTCAGCACACACTCACATATAAAATAATAATCTTGACCAGGTTTAAATTCCAGTCCTCCCGGTTGAGGGGTAAACGAACGGAAAGTAATAGTGAAGTACATATGTAGATGTGGCTTATCACAGACGGCTATAACTCGGGCATTGGGATTATTGATCCGACAGGAATCGTATTCTTCCTTGGAAACCTGTAACAGATATGGGTAACATAGAAAGATTAGTCCTATCAACAAGGTAGTTTGTTCTTCGTTTCCTCTAACAAAGTAACATATGTATAGATGTTAGGGATGCACGGGTAGTAAAATTTGGCCGAATACCGAGTACTCGGTCACTAAATTTCGGCCGGGGCCGGGTTCTCCCCTTTCCTTCCCCTCAAAAAAAAAACATACACAAAAATTAAACACAAAAATAAAATTAACTTTTATAAATTTAACCGAATAATCACCAACAGAACATTCAAGTTTTACTTCAACTTTCAGTGCCTAGCCCCAACGATTAGAGCTTAGATACCTAACTTCGACACTCAGCCGGAGCCGAATTTTATCGGGTAACCCAGTACCCGGCCTGGTACCCGTGCATCCCTAATATATATAGAAAATCAATACTCAAACAGTCAAGCAATACAAAATCAAAAGAAAGAACTGCATTAAAAACAGCAGATCCAAACCTGTGATAAATGACATCCAAATGAACAAAAACAAGCCCAAACAAAAATCAAATCAAAGACGCTACAAAAATCAAGAGGATTCCCAGGTTACAAGCTATAATATGGGATATAAAATGTGCCCTGGGTTTTGGAGGTGACTGCGGAAGTAGGACCCACATTGCAGTGGAGATACACCGTCTATCAATCTTAACCTCCATTCGCCAGTCTCATTGTGTGTTTTTTTTTGTTTTTGTTTTCAATAACCAGGTATTTAAACAAGTAATAGGAGTTTTAATGGGAGCTAACTATTCTACTTGTATTGTAAATCTACACTTTTTTTGTTTGAGAATAGGTTTATTGAATATTGTATAAACCTGGACAATTCTGCGTTAACTTACAGGTACATAGATGATTTAATTAGTATAAATAATCCCGAGATAAATAATTTTATTCGCACTATTTATCTGGTAGAATTAGAAATTGAAAATACTTCAATTTCTAATACAGAGGCACATTATTTAGATATTGAAATTAAAATAATTGATAATGATATCAATCTAAATGTTTTGGATAAAAGAAAATATTTTTCTTTTCCAATATGTGGCCTACCCTCTTTTATTACTAATATGCCATACTCTTCTGTTATAAGTATTACAACTTCACTATTATTCAGATTTTGTAAAATCTGTAATAAATTACAATATTTCATTATCAATGTGGAAATATTAATGAAAAAATGATATTCAATGGATTTAATAAAGAAACTGAATAAAATTATTAAAATATTCTGCGATAAATATAAGAACGTATTAAATAAATATACATTAAGTAAACATTAAGGAGATTTTACTGATGGTTCCAGTAAGTATTATGTTTTAATAAGGTCATTTAAACAACTTGGCACTATTTTTATGCGGATGGACGCCTTATCGCATGTAAAGGCTTGTGTAAAGTCTGAAGAATAGTGGTAGCAGTGGACTTAACAGGTGGTGTTTGGGAGTTATACCAGTTTAGTTTAGATAACTTGGTTGGGATTTTATAATTTGTCTATTGTGCTACTAATTAGTGCTTTACTACTACAAAGGGGTCTGGAATGCCAACCTCAGTAGGTAAAGTTTACCTTACTTACCCCCCAAGTGGTATTACCTTTTTATATAACACATATTGAGATTCTATTTTATATCGCTCGAATATTTTGCAAAAATAACACTAGGGGAACTCGTAAAAAAACAACAACATTATTTTAATAAGTTATGACGTTTACATCGAAATGCTTCAATAGAATAGGTGGGATACTACGGCCCGAATGAGTAACAAACAACGAATTGACAGAAAATTGTGTTAATCTTCATGAAACACGTGCAGGACCTCAAAGTGATGTGTCTGTATGGATTGTAAGGACTAAAAGAGTGAATATGAGCACGTAGCATATAGTATGTGTACTGTATGTCCTGCTGACAATAATCAATAAAAATATAATAAAAAAAGCATGAAGCATTTATAAGCACATGAAAAGATGTCCCTCGATGGCTTAGTATTGAGCTCCGAGGCTTATAATGCTGAAATTCGGGACTTGGTCCCTGCAGTAGAGATCAGATAATTCATTATGCAATTTACTCTAAAAATAAAACAATAAAAATACTGAAATTTATAAAAGGACATTAAAGAGTAATTAAGTGTTTGAATGTATACGAATAGTTTCAATACATTTTCTAATCTAAGTATTAGTCAAGACCGTCTTGTACTCCGGTCAGCCTGATGAACAAACTATACAAACAAAAATTAAGTTGAAACGCTAATACAGACTTTTAAATGAAAAGCTGAATTAGGCAAGTGGAAAAATACATTAATGATTGTTTTTTGTTTGTAATTAAGCACAAAGCTACACAATGGGCTATCTGTGCTCTGCCCACCACGGGTATCGAAACCCGGATTCTAGCGTTGTAAGTCCGCAGACATACCGCTGTGCCACTGGGGGGCTACATTAATGAAATTATTCGCTAACTTATCTTGATATCATATCACTCAATTCTTCTTAAACGATTAGGTTGTGCCGATTCACACATAAAATATTTTTCTGGGAAATAATTATTTATGGAAATAGATGTTTTAGTATTATCTTTCATAAAATATAAATTTATTACCGAGTGAAAAGTGAGTTTTTATTAGTAGGATAAGGTAAAGAAAAAGTAAATAAAATAATTTAATAATTCAATTTATGGATGTTTAGCAAATCAAAATACTTTTATTATCACCTTTCATAAAGTAAATTTCACAATTTACGCTTTAATCTGAAAATTAAACAATAATTACACCACAAGTTATAACGCTATCTGTTCAATTAAACTAGAGATTCACAACTCAACATAACTATCAAAAGAATTCAAGTGTCTTCATTATAAATGATCAATTAAAATAAGCAAAATACCAAATTTAATCCAATTTTCTTTATGTCATCGTAGTACGAAGATATAAAACAAAAACAAGTCCATTTCCTTTCTGTCGGAATGCACGAGGTTAATGGATGCCCTTTGATAATTAAATAACTTTTGGGAGTTAGCTTGTACGTGTAGAAATGGAAACAGAATTAACACACATGTACATATTTATAATACTGCTAAAAGCGCAAAGAATCGATCCTAAAGCAGCTAAGATATAAACAAATAAAAAACAAAACAAAAGCATGAAATTGCTAGAAGACCGGTTAGTGTTCCCTATCATATTTATCTGATTCTATCTTCTAAACATTGTGCCTACTAATCAACTGTCGTAACAGGTTTGACTAAAGCTTACTGGAAAATAAATAAAAAGAAAGAAAAAGTTTCACGTTATCTTATTATGTCGGCATAATGAATTACAATAATCAAAATTTATGTATTTCTGTCTCCACTTGATAAGGCTTTTCTTACCTCCTTAAAACAAGCTCTACTTTTAATAAAGAAAAATGCTTATCTATAAACGCTGACTTGTGTCTGTTTTAAAACCGTTTTTATTGTTTCAACAACATAGTAAATCATGGAATATCTTAAGATATGACAACAGAGATAGAAATATAGTTTATATGCAACTTTGCATAAAGGTCGAAAATCCTTTCTAAATCATACTTGTGATAAAGTGTGGTAATATTTTAGTTGAACTGGGATTTAGAGTAAAATCAAAAACAATACAACCATATCCAAAGTACTAGATAATAACTCACATTATATATTATATATCTTTCCACATCTTCTTCTCGGGTCCCTGAAGTATAGACTGGACAAATAATGTTGACCTGGTCGTATTCAAAAGGTATATTTCCCTTGTTGACGTCAATAATGTGGTCTGTATTATCTATCCGGAAGCTGAAGAATAATAAAGAAAAGCGTAAACAATTTTCTATAAAAACGACAGCTGAACATTTCTCTTGGTGTATGACGATTTAAGATATCTACCAAACTTACATTTTAATATTTATCGTCTAGCACCTGAACTTTATTATAATCTAACATTATCTTTGGTATTTTATTTTAACCGTTAATCTTGTCTCTGCTGTAGTTTTCCATAGACGTAACTATTGATTTACCTGTTTACCTTAAATGCGACTACTTTACTTAATGGATAGTGATGGATATAACTGCATTTTCTTTATCTTTTTATAACCCCCAGTGATTTATAAAGCTAGAACTCGAGATTCGAACCGTACGACTGACTCAGCGCAGATATCCCTTATGCAGTTTTTACACTAAAACAAAATTTGTCTCATTATTTTTTTTTGTTTCGATGTTTTTTTTTTCTTTATGACTCTTGGTTTTTAGCAGTATTTCCAGTAACAGAGGCTGTACTTACCACAGCACAATGATGTCTGGACACTCTACACTTTCGAAACATATCATGAATTATTCTATCAAAGTACATTCCTTTCTTCATTAAGTAACAGAGGCTGTACTTACCACAGCACAATGATGTCTGGACACTCTACACTTTCGAAACATATCATGAATTATTCTATCAACGTAAATTCCTTTCTTTACATTAAATAATATACCAAATAGTCGTGTAGCGCTGGCAAAAAGTAATTCGTTATTGACTACAATTTAGCCAAATATACCAAAGGAAAAGTTGCTTTAAACCTGTAACATTCGTGATTGATGCTTCAATACATCTGTTAAAATAATATATCGTCTGATGAGCAAGATAAAGATGAATCTAATGATTCTTATGAATGATCTAATCTAATGATTCTAATGAATCATTACCCAGAACTGTCTCTGATAAGTAGAAAACAACAACAAAATGTTTCCACAGCTTTCATTGCCACAGAGACTCCAACAACAAAATGTTTCCACAGCTTTCATTGCCACAGGGGCTCCAACAACAAAATATGTTTCCACAGCTTTCATTGCCACAGAGGCTCAGCCAGTTGGACAAATGCAGTTCACTGGCTCTAATGTAACAATTACACATATAAATGAGCTCAGTAGAACCCATTAGGAAAAGTATTGTAATATGAAATAACCATAGAGATTACGAAAATAAGAAATTATTATCATCCATTACAAGAATGGTCCGTTGTATATATATTCAGAACTAGAATATAGAAACGAAGACCATCTTTTTTTTATAGTTCTATAATATTCGGTTGTTTTTTTTAGCGCAAAGCTGCACAATGTACTCACAATGGGTTATCTGCGCACTGTTCACCGCGGAGAATCAAACCTGGATTATAGCGTTGTTGTAAGTCCGTAAACTTAGCGCTGACCCACTGGGAGACGATTTAAAACACAACCAACATGTTATATATATATTTAAGGAAAACTGGCAGTCACCTGTAGTTAGTTTATCAATGACGATATTTCTGTTTTTGTTGTTTTGTTTACCTTGTCAATGATGAATTATTTCTCGAGTATACTTTCTAATTATATACCAGTACGGCGTATTTTAGAAGATTGCACATAGAATAAAGTTGAAAACAGTAAAAGAAATGATGAGGTTTTTGAATAACAGAGTTGCTTAGAAAGTTAATAATAAAAATTAATTCATTCTTCACAACCGCATATAGTCAAGGACGGATGGAGTCTTGTTAAATATTGACCGCTGGTCAGTGGTATGATTCCGGACTTAAAAAGGCTAAAATCCCTGTTTTGATTTCTCGCGATGGACAGAGAGCAGGCAGCCCATTGTGTAGCTTTGCTCTAAAACATAAACAACTAAGCGCTACAATACATAATGTTGTGTTATTGTAGCTTTTTAACTTTTATCATTTTTACGCAAAGCTATACAAGAGCATAACATAATCGTCCCTAATGTTAAACTTACAGACCAAGAACGCAGTTAGTTAACAGCATTCACCGGAAATTCTTTAACTACTGTTGTCTGACTGAATATTAGGATCTCATCTACAGCACACGCAAGACTCCAAATTGATGAATACGTTTTTTTAGGCAACGGTACACATTCACAGTTTGGGCACGTTAAATGCTGGCCCCACCTGGCCAAAGTTTATTTTACAGTGTATACAATGGCTATGTGAATTGTTATAAAAACCAGTTGTGCTTAAGTTCTCTAAGAAAGGGTAACCACTTTTCGAGCACCTCAAAAAATAATTTAACTTCAAAGTTATGTACTTTATACTTTCAGATAAAGCATCATTAAGCGCATATGTTCTCACATGAATGTTTCATCTTTCTATTATATAGGTTCTACAAACTAGGGTGAAATTAAAAATTTAAATGAACGTTGGCTTTAGAAATAGATAATAAGGTTTCTAGCCAGTTATACTTCGCAGCAGTTCATCATGTAGAGGTCAGTGAAATCATATGATTTCGATTTACATCCCATGATTTAAGGGAGCATATAGAAGTTAACAAAATTTCCATAAGTTTATGGTTTACATACCTCAAGTGCAGATCAAATCTAAATTTACGATTCCAGAAAATTGTTATAACAATTAAACTAAATGGATAAAGGAAGAAAAATAAGCAGTAATAATTTTATTCAATTGGAAGTATCGTATCGAGCATTAGAAGCCAACTACTTTGTTATCTTTATGGTGGCTTCTGCCCCAGGCCTACTTGGTTATCATTGGCTGAGCTGTCATATGTAACCAGCAGTTATTACAGATGGGTAAGAAGGGTGCATAGAAACGACGTACTTGTGGCTCTTGGTGGCGTTGTCTTCAGCAAAGTTCGTATTTTAATTAGGCAGACTCCGGTTGTTTGAATTCAACCTCGAAACTTTTCAAAAGGCGACATCCTGGTAATAGAACCCGAGCGTGAGAGAAAGATAAATTTCTACCAGCCTGCGCAAGTAAGCGTTTTATGATTCAAAGGTGTCTCGTCCGTGTGAATAACTAACGAGTCACAAAAACTTAACACCTTTTGAGGAGCTTGGGATGAGATGATAGAGGGTTATAAAGGCCTCTACAGCTGACTTTCTGCATGACAAATGTGAAAGATAGAGGTTAAACCTTTTAAGCACCAAATACTAGTAACAACAAATAGAAATGTCTGGGAGCTGTATTAATTATTTAATACAGCATAGCTTGCACATTTGTCATATTGCAGCTGAGAGCACCTATATTTTTTCTTCATTACATAGTATTGGTGTGCCTAGTAATTGTCAAGACTTTCGTTAATTGACCAGTGAGAATATAAATGTGTTTATTTCACGTAATTACAATACGTTCCATTATTGAATGTAGTTAGCATTTTGTCGAATATCATTGATGACGTTTTTACATCTATTAAGAGCATAGTGCTCAGGTTTTGTCTGATCTACTTAGCATTTAAATGAATTGTTTTGGAATTCAAGAACTTTGCGAAACAACAACTTGCTAGAAAATTACGATTATACAACAAAATAATTTAAATAAAAACGAATAAAAAACACTTTAGATGAAATATGTACGTCCCAAGGGCCCACAGTATGTCGTCAGACTTATCAAAGTTGTGAGAACTAAACAGCTGCAACAGAAAAGGTTCGCTGCACACGTGGATTCCCCCCTGCGGCCAACAGGCAAACAACCAAGATCAATGCAAGATTCCACACTCTAAGAGAAGTAAAGGAGCCAAAGCCAACGGTCTGGGATAGAGTAAGGTGAGACCAATGTGTTATATCTCATTTAAGAAAAATGAAGTTTGGGGATCTGGTATTCATTGTTAACTTTCTATTTTGGTGCTTTAGGGTATTGGACACACGCAGTCTTCTTCGCCTTTGAAGAAACAGCAAGAATAAGCTGTTTTCTGGAAGACTGGCTTATCTGAATGCTGAGCCTGTCTGTACTGTTCCATCCATTGTTCCACCTAAGGGTTCGAAGAATTCACTCTGCAACAAAAGAAAGTGGGTGTTGGGGAGAATGAAGAGAGGAGTCCAGACCGCCTTCCCCTTCTACAGAAAAATATCGTGTCCAACATATTTAGTCACTTAAAGAACAACTTAAAAAGAGAAAATAAAAACATGGAACTTAAAGCTTATAGAATAGAATTTAAAGTCTAATACGCATAATAAATGTTCTTTTTTTTTGTTGTTACAGAAAACCAGATGGCAAGGAAGAATAACATGATTTATTTCCTTGAATTTCCAGAACCTCGGGTAAAATTGTTTCTAAAGTTTTTACGAATCCCCATTTGATGGTTCTCTACGTACCGATTTATTTATAAAAAATTCCCAAACTAAATTGTAGGTAGCAAATAATAATCACTGCATTTCCTTTAACCTGCGGGCAAAATATGAGAAATAAAATCCAAATAATAACATATAGTTGATATCCGATTCAGAATATATATTATTCAGATTACTGGCAAGTATGTGATAAAATGCACACAAAAATAATTCTGTAATAAATAACTACTGGGATATCAGTATCTACAGTAATATAAAAAAAAATCGAAAAAAGAAAGTTTTATTTCAAAAATATCTACATACTTATCAAGTAGTGAGCTTCATAGTTTAAACTACAAAGGTCTTATATGCTAAAACAGAAAAATTCCACTTATTTGTTTTGTTTGTTGTTAAGCACAATGATACACAATTGGCTATCTGTGCTGTGCCACCACAGGAACCTTACTCAGAGTTTTAGCGTTACGAGTGCTCAAGCTAGGCGCTTATAGTCAGTCACCTGTGGGCAAAAATGCCTCTATTGAAACACGCTGTCAGCGACTATTTATCCTAGCCACAGCCGTTCTGGACTTCACTTGTAAAAATTCTATGTTGAAATACTTCCAAAATCATGCAAGAGCACTCTGGCTCTCGATCTTTCAAAGCTTTTCATAATAACATGAATAACATTATTCCAATGAAATGGCATATGTAAAGAAAGACACAGGAAAAAACCTCACTATGAACAAACTAAGGGAAGTCAGGG